AAGCACCTCTTCAAGATGATACCGCAGGCATAACCTCACGGTATCATGAGTGTGCAATCAAGTATACCTGAGACTTCCCCGTTGCGGTGCGCCCTTTCATCCCTTATTTTAAGTACCGCCATCGGTACAGTTGGTGAGCACCGCCCACATTCGCCTGTATATAACCCCTCAATTCGTTATATTAATGTCGGTAGGTCATACGGTTCAGCTCGGACACGTCGTAATAAATCCTTACACGAGCGAGTGCTCTCATTGGTAAGACACCAAACTGCCGATGTTGCAAAATAATAGTGCTATCACATGTTTCTCCCATGCGTTTCATGTCTGCTTGGCCAGATCCTTTCATTATCATGATTCCTCTGTTTTCATGTAATTTCAAGAAGTAAGCAGCTGTTTGTTTTTGAAAAAATGAGGAGCAAGGGTAGACGAATCGTCAGCGGGTGCGGGATTGGAAAGATCCAGCGTCAAAATTTTTTCCAGGGTCCTGCGTTAAATTCAGATTCAGAAGCCCTGGACACCGTTCTCAAGTAGAAGAGCCATCGTATTAGGGTAACTTCCTGCTCCCTAGCCCCAACGGAATATTCTGCTTACCCTGTGGGATCGTTGGTAGTCTTCGGAACGACTGGGTTTTTTTGCTCGAATCTTGTGCACTCTGACTATTTGCCTATACTTGGTTCTTTGCAATTCTTGCCCTTTATAAAAAACTGTCGGCGGTTTTACCCATATAGGACTCAAGCTCCAAAAGCTACAATGCACACGAAACTGAAATAAATACAGAGACCCTGGAACCATCGGTGTCAAAACAGTTACCAGCGATCGGAATATCTGAATGGTGTCTCAGTTTTTCTAGAATAATTTGTTCGATGACGTAGGGAATTTCGAGCAACTTGATGCGCATTACGTCAAGGTCACATGCACATAGTGTTTTTCGTGGAACGTTTCGGGTGGATTTCTTTGTTTTCTTCTCTGTAAGAGAACTCGATACCTGCTGTACCCCTCACTCTACATTCTACTTCCGATGAACCATTCTCTCAGAATTACCTGTATCGCGTAATTCCACTTTGGCGCCGGCCACAGGAGATCCATTGCAATACAGCTGACCAAATAAAGCAACCGACTGATGATAATCAAAATACTTGTTGGTGTGACCTTGTTGCAGCAAAGCAGCGACAGCAATTAAGAGAAATAATTTCATCCCACTATGGGAACTAGCACAGGTCTGAAATAGAATCCGCCCTTCGACTGAACGCGTACCACTGTAATAATATTTATTTTTAAACAGTAGAACAATTCTGAAGTTTTTTATATAGGACAGTTCAAGAAACCAGTGTGAGAGATGTTTAACAGTGGTGATTGAAGGCACGCTCACCAGTGGTGAGGGAGAAGACTTTTCATGGCGTCATTCTCTGCTTTTAAGGTGACTTCTTTGCAAACTGATC